ATACTCTAGTGCTGAAACAGCACAGACACCATTTGAAAAGCTTCTGGATGTACTTTTCCTACATTTACTCATAGCATACACACACACACAAAGATTATAATCTCTCAATATAATTCAAAAACTTTACCCTTATGCACTATTAATTTGCTAGCTCTACAGTATCCAATGATAAACTCAATGATAGGGAAATAATAACATAGCAACTCTTATCCTCAAAGAACCAAATCTTTATTTTTGTTTAATGCTTAGAATGATTGCACAAAACCCTTTATAAGATATAAGGCAGAGTTACATTCCAAGTCATATGCACAAAGAGCTATTTCCTGATTGACTTCCAATCAACTCCCAAAAAGATGTTCATCTTCTTCAAAAAGAAAAAGTAAACATAAAGTATTCCACTATAGGAAAAAGAAAAAGCGTAAGAGGTGAAGGCAGTTGAAAGTACCTAACAGGAGTTGGGGATGTGGCTCAGTGACAAAAGGCCTAGGCTCAATCTCCAGCACTGCTAAATACATACATACATACATAAATAAATAAATAAATACATACATACATACATAGGAGATACAACCAAAGACCTGAAAGATAAATCCAGGATTATCACCTAAAATACAGAGTCCACCAAAAAAACTGGATACACATTTCAGCAGTTTGCTGTACTAATTAATGTCTGGAAGCTAATGGCCACCACTTTCCAACACCTCTTGTAGAGACCAAAGGTAACTTGTATTAACTTCATGATATCTCAATAAATTTAGTATTAAAATGCTTGTACAAGTTTTTCTTTTCCTAATGTATTTTTTGGGGGCAGACTCTGGATATGTTGGACCCTAACTTCCTTAATGCTGTTAAATTTTCTTGTAAGAAACATTTCAACATACAGTATTGTTCTGCCTCTAAAATGAGTAAATATACATAATCATCAAGCATAAACTGGACTGATAAAAAGATAATGCTCACTCCAAATCAAGTAGTTTCATTTCATGGAAACACATAACATATTGAAACAGGTAACATTTCATTGAAGCTGGGCATGGCGGTACACACCTATAATCCTAGCACTCTGGGAGCCTGAGGCAGGACCACTGCAAATTCAAGTCCAGACTGGGCAATTTAGTGACTCGGCAAGACCCAGCCTCAAAATAAAAAAGGAGGGGGCTGGGATATAGCCCAATGCAAAGGCCCTGGTGTCAATCCCCACTACCAAAAAAAAAAAAATAAAATAAAATAAATTTTACCATACTATTGGGTAGTTAACAGCAATCTTTTAACCCCATTTTACAGATGAGGTGTGAAATGATTTATCTAATGACAATCTGTTACTGGTAAAGTCTCCAACTCAAATCACATGACACCAAATCCCAGGCAGGTTTTCCATACCACATTGTGCTCTCCATTTCACAACTAGAAGTCACAAAACTATATTGGCTGCTCAATTTGCACAGATCTATTACCCATACCGTAGGAAAAAATGTCAACTATGAATGATGCCATGTGTTACAATCTCAAAGGGGAAAAAAAACAAACTCAGTTTTTGCTCTGAAAGACTAGCATTCAGTTCAGCATCCAATCTATACCTCGCCTAATGCAGATTTCACAACAGCCCTTCAGGTAGATGCTGGTATTCCTGTTGTGTATACCTCAGAGCAAACAGGCCCACAGAGGCTTAGTAATTTAACTAAGATCACACGTTACATGACACAACAATGATTTTAACCATGTGTCAACTATACCACACTGTTTTACATGGCACCATAGTGATGCCCTCTCTGGACAACACCAAAGAAAAATACTGTTTAGTTTTAAATATTTTAGTGTTTTAAAGTGTCCAACAAACATTGTCCCACTTGTTGCTGTCATAATCTCAGTTCTCAGCAGAGCATCTTTTCTCAGTCCCAATTTTCTCTTTACTCTTACCATCTGTTGACCTCACTGTGCCTGGAAGAGGCCATTAGGACAGATAAGTGATGTGGCCTTAACTAATAGTATTTTCTATAGCCACAGGACTTACACAAATATTTTCTCTGGATGTAAGCAAAGTCTATCAAATACTACATAGCAACTGCCAGAAACATGAGCCTGCCCAAACAATTAATTAGTAAGTGAAAACAATGAACTATGAAAAATCTATCATTTTAATCATCACTCATAAGGGTTTTAATCCAGACAAGACAGAAGAACAACTAAATGTTGTGAATATTCTTGTCACTTATTAAGGATAGATAGCATTAACTCAAAATAGTATATGCTCCCTTTCAGGTAATAAGTGTTAATAAGGGACAATAATAGATAAGAAAAATTGTAAACACAACACTTAAGATAATTTAAACCAGGAAAGATTACTGAAGGACTTGTCCGAAAAAAAATTCAATTGGCTTTAACTAGTTAAGGTGTATTAAGACTCCCAAAGGGAGCTTCCTTATCTGAAGCAAGCAGGAAGAACTTTGTGTCAGCACAAGCTGTACTCATAATGGAAAGTGAATAGCTAAAAAGGCTTTTAACCAAAATTCCATGTTCAGAGAACCAATAAAAAAAGCCAGGTCCATTTGAGCCAAACTGGAGGGTTCAGTGGAAAAGGCTGCTGGAAGGAGTAAGTACAAGGACAGGAGCAGATAAAAAAGAAACAGGAAGAACTGAACTAGAGGGAGTGTAGGGGGTGGGAGGAAGAGCAAGGGACAAAGAAGGCTGGAACCCAGGAAGTACTGGAGGAGGGTAACCTAGGCCTAGAAAGGTTAAGGAAGTGAATGCCTAGAACCAGGGCCTGTCCTGTGCAAAAGACGATCTTCTACAGGCTAAAATTAAGCCAAAGGAAATGAACTGACCAAGATTAGGAAAAATGGAATTAATATACAGTATTGAGGATGATCCTACACAAGGATAAGGGGAGTAAGGCTGGGAGTAGAGTGTGTATGCACTAGGACCCAGGCCCATAGTTTGACTGCCAGCAAAACATATACACACACACACACCACCCAAAAGGATAAGGGGAGTAACTGAAAGAATGAAGGGAACTTTTTTTTTTGGTATCGGGGATCGAACTCGGGACCTTTCCCTTGAGAGGCAGGCAGTGGAACAACTGAGCTAAATCCCCGCCCCTGGAGGTAACTTTTTAAAAAGTACTAACTTTAAATGGGAGAGTTGTATGATACGTGTAACATATCTCAAAAAATAAATCTGTTTTAAGGGTGTTAAACTGGGCAATGAGTAGTTGTGATTTAATTAGCTGGATTAGTTTAGATGTCTAAGAGTACCCTAATATTCCCTCTCTAAGCTAACGTTTGTCTGGGAATATCTCCATTGGAATACCTGTCTCAGAAGACAGGAATATGTACAGAAGCAGCAGAAGGGGGAATGGGGGGATACTGTTCCCTCTTTAAAGAGATCTTTCTCCATTTTTGCTTTGAAATTTATGACAGTGTGAGGGAAGGAAGTTTTTGTGTGGGGTCTGCCTTAAAGTGGAATATCAGGTTTCTTCCTGGGATGATCTAGTGCCAAACTCTATGTAGTCAAAGAGAAAATGATGAGGGGGGCGGGGGCGGTGTGTGTGTGAAAGGGTCAGGTCAGTTCGGGAGAAATCCCAGAAGGTTTATCGTGAAATGATCACACAAGTCTGGTCTTGCTCCTCCAAACTGGACTATAGGCACCCTGTCACTTCCTACCGTTACTTGCAAAGACAGATGCTTTGCTGTGATCCCAGAAGTGTCTGACGAGCTGCCAGCTTATGCAAATTAGAAATCCACTGGGGATACCTGGGTGAAGCTAAGCGCCACGACCTGCGCTGGGCTCCCGGTTCCCGCCTCCCAATGCAGGAAAAGAAACGAAGGAAGGCAGAAGGCGAGCGGGAACGCCCGACCACCTCGCCCTCCTTCACCAAGCAGGGTTTCAGGGAGCCGCCCCCTCCCCCGCTGACGCCCCTCCCTAACCGCCCTCGCCTCCGGCCGCGACCCCAGGGAGGAGGGGGCTGCGGCAGCGAGCGCCCCCACCGGCGACGGACGCACCTCCCCCGAGACAGATTCGCGGCCGCCGCGGGGTCGGGGCCTCCCCGGGAGCAATAGGCTATCGATTCAGCTGCCTGTCGCTAGGAGCCCCGGGAGAGCGAGGCCTACACCGCCGGGCCGGAGCCCCGGCCTCGATTTCGGCACTTTCCCCACCCCAGAGGGTGAGCCTGAGGGCAGCCAGGCCCCGCTGGGCGGGAGGGCGGAGAAGCGCAGACCACCTGCAACGGTGGCCTCGGGGAAGCGGGGTGAGGGGGCCGGGCTCCCGCCAACAAGTCGCCCGGGGGTCGTCCAACCACCCCCCACCTCGCGAGCTGCGCATTCAAGTTCCGGCTGGTGCCCCTCAGCTTCAGAGCCCCCACTACTCTCAAAACCATAATAAAAACAAGACGCGGAAGAGGTCGCCACAGGACCAATGGTGATGCAGCGGGGCCCTCGGAGAGCCTGGGGGCGGCCGACAGCGACCCGCCGCCCGTCACCTCCCCTCCGCCGACCCACAAACCCGGGTCGCGGTCCCCGGCCTCTCGGCGTCCGCCCCGTCACCGCCCGGCCCGAAGGTCCCTTCTCCATGACACCCGCGACAGGGGCTCGCGCTCCCTCTGCCCCCGGCGCACCTAGGCCTCCTCCCTTGCAAATCCCAAAAAATGCCCCCCCACCCCCACCCCGCACCTTTTCAAGTACGCGGAGGAAGAGTTTGCCGTCAAACTTTGTCAGGCGGCAACTTGGCCCCCGTCCCCGACCCACCCAGGAGGGGCAGTCATCAGGAGAGACCACTTTGCACTTGGGATAAAGCGAATTAAGGACCTGTCAACCATTTTGGGTTTTTTAAAATAGAAAACACCCTCTTTCCTTTCCTTCCTTCCCTCCCTCCCTCCCCCTGCAATGGCTTTAATTTGACACCAAATCTTCCTACCGCAGGAGAGGGGCAGAAAAGGGAGGGGTGGGGTCGGAGGGCAGCGGGGAGAGAGACAGGGGAAGCGCGGGGAGGGAAGGAGGTTGATTTACCTGAGACCAGCCACTGGCCTCCATTGTTGGAGAATTCAATGGCATTGACACAGCCGAAGTGGCCGAGGAGGTCCTTCTTGTAGAGGTTTCTGCAGCCCCGCAGGCGTCTCCTCTGAAAGTCCTGAGTGAGCAGGGGGTCCCCATGCAAGCCCCGCTGGGACAAGAAGCCCACCACTGACCTCATGCTGCCCCCCAGGCCAGCTCTCCTCTTCATGCTGGAACCGCCGCCGCCGCTCGCGCCGCCGCCCCTCCCTCGGCCTCGCGCGCGGCCGCCGCTCCCGCCCGCCCTCCCCCCGCGCTGCGCAGCGCTCCGGATGGTGCCCTAGCCAGCCATGGCAGAGCAGCGAGGTGTGCCGACGCTCGGCGGTGTTCGCGGCTTCCAGACGAGCCCTCCCGCTCCTCTTCCCCCCGAGACTCCTCCCTCGGCTTCTCCGCCCCTCAGCAGCTGATCCTCAGCTCCGGCCGCGCTTTTCGCGCGGCCCTTCCGCCGGCCGCCGACTTAGACGCACGCGGGCGCCGCCGCCCCTCCCCCGCACGCCGGCCGGAAGAACGCGGGCTGCGGCCTGGAGGCCTGGAGACCGCGGGCGGCGGCCGAGCTGAGGCCTCCCAGCACCGTGGAAAGTTGAATGCACTGAACAAAGTGCCCACCGTGCTGCGGGCTCGCCCGACCTTCCCGCCCCGGCCGCCAGAGGCCCAGCGCCGGCCGAGTTCAGGGAAAATTCGGCCAAGGGTGTAGGACCGCGGGCAAAAGCTCGGGTCCTCCTACCACGATCCACCGCCTCCTGTATCCCCCTCTAACACAGTCAAAAAGAAGGGGGTTAGGACCGGACAGTCGGGGGAAAGTTGCCTGGAGATTTGGTCAGTGCACCTGCCCTCGCCCTCAGCGTAATTTTAACACTAACCCTCCGTTCCCCGGTTCAGTTCTCTAATTCTCTTTTCCTCCAGCTTTTCAGCAAAAAAGGAAAAGGCTGCATTGTTCTGTGGGGTAGGTAATAGAATGTTATTATGGGAAAGAAAGGGAGAAAGGGATTGAGAAGGGGCTGGGGGTGACGCTTAGTCAGGGAGCACGATCGGTGCCTTGACTTGCTGGATGCCTTAGCTGTCCTCGCTAAAAAGAGGGACGGAAGGAGGAAGAAGTGGGGGTGGGGAGAGAAAGAAAAGGAAGAAGAAAATTGAGACAGTCCAGTGAAGTAGAAAGTACTTCTGTTCATTGGTTCCAGATACATTTGCAAGACCTAAGAAGCATTATTGGAACCTAGAAGTTGTACAGCTGTTAGCTAACAGCTGTGGTCTGGACCGCAAGTAGCTACCCTCCAGCTACTTGGTTGGGAGTCACTGAGTTGACCCCATTGAGGAAACTGGCTAAGTGCTTTGGAATTTTACCAGATACAAAAGTTCCCTTTTCAATGTAGTACTTTTCCTGGAAGCTAAATGGTAATAAGCAACTGAAATAGGCAGGTGTCAACTTTGCCCTTTCAATTTAGCAGACATTAAATCCTCTGGACTGGAGATGTTACAGAAGCAGTTGAGTAAAATCGCTGAAGGAAAACTTGAAGAAGAAAGAAAGATGGGCTAAAAAAAAAAAAAAGAAAGAAAGATGGATTAAACATAGATGAGCTTCACCTGTCAAGCAAAATTACCTACTTCTATTTTTTGTATGACAATAAGATTAATCATCTAGTAACATATACAAATACTTAATCTGAAAGTTTAATTGAACAAATATTGCAAAATTTAATAGAAATTCAGCAAATTCCAAAGATTAGAAGATCACTAGGTGTGTGGTTTTTATGTTTTTACTTTTTGTAGCACTAGGGATGAAACCCAGAGGTGTCCACCACTGAGCTACATCCTCTGCCCTATTTGTTTAGTGGTAGGGGTTGAACCTAGGGTCTTTGCACTGAGCTCCATTCCTAGCCCTTTTTATTATTTATTTTGAGACAGAGTCTCACTAAATCACTAAATTGCTCAGGCTGGGCTCAAATGTGTGATCCTCCCATCTCAGCCTCCCAAGTAGCTGAAATTGCAGGCATATATCACCATGCCTGACCAGAAATTACAGTATTAATGAAATGTTGTTCCCCTACATAGGAAAGTGTGTAGTGCTTTCTTTTTAAAAGTTTTATTCTTGGGTTTCTCACAACAATCGATAGTGTTTATTCATTACATCTGCCATCTAAAGACCAGCAGTAGTACACCAGCTTGACTAAAGATTTACAGCACTAAATATATTTCTTTCACAACAACATAATGTGTGATTGATCATTTACTTTTGTGTTTACAGGGTAGTCTCTTGCACTCTGCTGCAAGCTCCCTGTGTATGTTCAGCTCAGTATTCCTCAAGAGCCAGCACATGCTGGCACTTAGTGGCCACTTAGAATTTGCTGAATACACAAATAAACTTTGGAAGTAGGAATTTGGAGATAATGATTCTAGTTTCAGGTGTGTTGAGTTTGAGGTTCCTGTGCTTCATTCCAGCGAGCCCATTTGTTGCAAGGCCAGTTTCCCATTTCACCGTTCCTGTGCTTGACATACTCAACCCACACATCCAAAACCAGCAAGCCCTCTGGCTCCTTCCAATTAATAGGCCATCATCTACCTTATTATGCCAGGGTTGGGGGACATGGACACATGATATGTTTAAAGTGGCCTTTACTATGACAGTCTGTAAGTCACACCCTCCTCTCCCACATAAGTACATACTCCACATACTCCTCCATAATTTTAAATATAGCTGTTTTCCCCAATCTCTGGATAAACCATCCCATTTACCTCAGGGTAAAAATAGCCCAGGATCACATGCCAGCTCAATCCTAGGACTTTGCTGGAAACTTCTTTAACTGGTCAGTGATCACAGATGGCAGAAATATAGAACCACCCAGTCTGTCTATCTCCTATTGCTACCCTGGGCAGCTGTTAGTAAGGAGAGTGAATAAAATCTATAATTAGTGTTGCCAGATAAAATACAGGCCATTCAGTTCAGTGTGAATTACAGATAACAATTATGTTTTAATATGTGTTCCCCCTATAATATTTAGAATATACTCATACTAAAATAGTTATTCATTGTTTATTTGAAATTCAAACTGAATTACACATCCTGTATTTTTATTTGCTAAAGTTGGCAACCCGACCTATAACATAACCAATTTAAGAAAATCAAGCACCATTGCCTTTATAAATTTAACATAGTCTCATATATTGTTTATTGCAAATTAATAGTGTATATAATGTAAAACAATTTCAATGACCATATGAACTTTGCCTTTTTGATGTATGCATTTATAGAGAAAAGGCCATTGTACTTAGTTTTAACATAAGAAATGAAATTGAGGGGCTGGGGATTTAGCTTAGTGACGCTGCACCTGCCTCGCAAACACAAGGTCCTGAGTTCGATCCCCAGTACCAAAAAAGAAATTGGATTCCTGAGTAATCTTTCCACTGCAGAATGTATCCAGGAGGATAAAAAGAAATTCATTCATATTTTTCTTACCTAGGCCAACAAACTAAGGTGCATTAATATTCATACTCAAGAAACCTTGAAATGCTGTTTTGGAAATTCATTCTAGAAAAACCAAGATATGGAAATTGCTAAACACTGGATCCCTTAATTGCTCCATCATTGCTGTGGGTTCATTGAATATTGGTCAACTGTAGAGTTCCCAGAAATTCATTTATTCTTTGGCATATATATTTTTTGGCTCCAGTATCACTGAAGAAAGTAAGGAATAGGGCTGGGGATTTAGCTCAGTGGCACTGCGCCTACCTCACAAGCACAAGGTTCTGAGTTCAATCCCCAGTACCAAAAAAATAAAACAAAGTAAGGAAACTTCAAAACTGACTATGTGATGCTGGGGACAATAGTGCATACCTATTGTCCCAGCACTCAGGAGGCTGAGGCAGGAGGATCACTGCAAATTCGAGCCAACCTGTGGGCTACTTGGGCTAATAGTGAGTTCAAGGTCAGCCTGAACTACATAGCAAAACCTCGTCTCAAAACAACAAAATGTTGATAGTGACATTATTCATAATAAGTGAAGAAAAGTAACTAGTATTATGATTTGCATATATTTTTCCCATTGTCTTTTTACTTTCTTGATTGAATTCTTTGTAGCACTAAAGTTTGTAATTTTGGTAAGCTCGAGTTATCTCCTGCATACGGTTATTTTGTCACTTGTGATTTGGTGTCATATCTCAGCAACCATTGCCTAATCCAAGATCTCAAAAGATTTACTCCTGTGTTTCTTCAGTTTTATAGTTTTAGCACTTACATTAAGTCTGTGATCCATTTTGACTTAATTTTTGTATATGCTATATTATAGGGGTCCAGCTGCATTCTTTTGCTTGTAGATTTCTTGTCAGTTGTCCAAGCACTGTTTGTTTAAAATACAAGTTTTCCTTCTATTAAATTGCTAGTTTATAGAAACACAACAGATTTTTGTATATTGGCCTTGTATCTTGCAAACTAGCTTAACTCATTTATTAACCTTAACAGTGATTTACAGACTCCTTAAATTTTCTATATACAAGATCATATCAGCTGCTAATAGAAATAATTTTACTTTTTCCTATTCAATCTAGATGCCTTTTATTTCTTTGTCTTCCCCAATTTCCTTGGCTAGAATCTCTTATTACAATGTTGAATAGAAGAACAGACATCTTGTCTTATTCCTGCTACTGGAGGGAAAGTTTTTAGTATTTTATTCACCAGATATTATGTCAGTCATGAGTTTTATGTTTATTCCCTTAATCAGATTGCAGAAGTTTCCTTCTATTCTTTGTTAGAGAATTTTTTTTTTTAGCCTGAAAGGGTGTTGGATTTTGTCAAGGGCTTTTTCTTTGTCTACTGAAATTATCATACAGTTTTTATTCTTTTATTAATATGTACATTATGTTGATTGACTTTCATATGTTAAACCAACCTTATATTCCTGAGATAAACCCTACATGATATGTAATCCATTTTGTCCATACCTTTTTTTTTCTTTTTGGTACCAGGGATCAAACTCAGGTCCTTGCTCTTGTGAGGCAGGTGGCAGAACCACTGAGCTAAATCCCTGGCCCTGTAATCCATTTTGTGTGTCACTAGATACACTGCTAATATTCTGTTAAGAATTATTGTGTCCATATATTCATATGGGATTTTAGTATATAGTCTTTTCTCTTTCCCCCTCCCCATCTTTTTCTTTCTTTCTCTCTTAATTTCTTTCTTTCTTTCTTTTCTTTCTTTCTCTCTCTCTCTTTCTCTCCTTCTTTCTCTCCTTCTCTCCTCTCTTTCTCTCTTTCTTTCTTTGAAACAGAGTCCTATATTAGTATATTGCCCAGGCTGGCCTCAAACTGGCACACTTCTTGTCTCGGCCTCCTGAGTGCTGGATTACATACACCACTGGCTCTAGTTATAGTTTTCTTTCTTGTGATATCTCTGTCTGATTTTGGAATCAGGGTGATACTGGGTTCATAGAGTGAGTTGGGAAATCCAACCTCCTCTATTTTTTGCAAGAGTTTCTGAAGGATTAGTGTTCTTTTCTATCTGATAAAATTCACCAGGGAAGGCATCTAGCCTGGGCTTCTTGTGAGAAAGTGTTTAATTACTGATTAAAACCCTTTGCATGTTATATAGTAATTCTCTTCAGATTTTCAATTTCTCCTTGATCCAATTTTGGTAGTTTGTATGTTTCTAAGAATTTGTCCACTTCATCCAGGTTACCTAATTGGCTGGCATGTTTATAGTTATTCTTGTAATCTTTTTTATTTCTATAATGCTGGTAGTGATGTTACCCCTTTCATTCCTGATTTTAGTAATTGGAGTCTCCTTTTTCTTTTCTTGATCATCTAGCTAAGTTTATTGGTTTTGCTAATACTTTGAAAGAACCAACCTTCAGTTTTGATTCTGTTGCTTTTTAAAGTTTCATTTATTTCTACTCTTTTTATTTCCTTTCTTCTGATTGGTTTGGATTTAACCTTTTTGTATTGATCTGAGATTTTCTTTTCTAAGATAGATGGTTACAGCCATTAATTTCTTTCTAAGCATTGTTTTAGCTTAATCCTTATATATTTTCTGGTTATTTTCATTCATCTTAAAGGTATGTTCTGCCAGGTGTGGCGGCACATGTCTGTAATCCCAGCACTCAGGAAGCTGAGTCAGTGGTAGTAGTTTAGGCTGGCCTTGAACTTACTCTGTAGCTCAGGCTGGCCTCAAACTCAAGGTGATCCTCCTGCCTCAGCCTCCCTAGTGCTGGGACAACAGGTGTGCACCACCACGCCCAGCAGAAGTAGACAAAAATTCTCAATGGCCACGATTATTCATTTGATATTTATTCAGTGATATTTACCTACATCATTCTATAGTAGCTATCAGAGCTTTATGTATTTGAAATTTTCTTGGCAAAATCATTATCTCAGCTGTTTTTCTTCATTTTTAATTTCAGAATTCCATGTGAGTAACCCATGGTTAGTGGTACAAGAAACTGTTAAAACAAGGTATGTTTATTGTACCAGGTATGTAGTGATTTATTCAACATTCCTTTTCTGGAGATTGTCCTAAATTTGTAATGTTTATTGAACATCTTCGGTGTCATAATTACCATTTGAAAAACAGAATCAGGCAGTGCCACTCCCCAAAGTAAAATATGACCAAGAAGACATAGTGTCTACATTACAGAGGTAAATGTGTGTTGTCTTCATGGGCTTGATGATCATCAGTAACAGTCTCCTGGAATATGAACAACCACAGTGCATATTTATAAACCTGTTCTCCCTTCCTTCTGAATAAACTACATGAACTCACAAAGTAAATGGAATCAGTATATTTGACTACAGATACCCGATAAGTTGGAGCTGGTGGTGTACTGGCTATCTTTGAGTTTGGTAGAGGGTGGTTACTATTCATACTGCAAAATGATAAAGCTCACAGGAATCTCAGAAATCACCTAGCCAAACTCCTTCACGACTCATGGTCTGGTCTTTTTTGCTGTTGTTTTTTTTTTTTTTTTTTGCTTTTTGAGATAAAACCTCCCTGTGTTTTTCAGCCTGGCCTTGAACTCACTAAGTAGCCCAAACTGGCCTTGAATTCCTCATGATCCTCCTGCCTCAGCCTCCTGGGTGCTGGGATTACAAGCGTGCGGGACCATGCCCTGCTTCATGGTCTGTTTTGATCACCACTGGAATCTCTAGCATGAAGCAGAGTTCCTGGCACATACTATGGGGCTCTAGTTGTTGGATGAATGGATCTTGCTGAAGTGCCTCTGCCCAAGACTCTTTCTTATGGCTGTTGTATCAGGTCCAGACTCCCTTACCTGCCTATCAAGTCCCTGCAGGCTTTGTCTGTACTCCACCTATAGTTAGATTTCTTGTCACTCCTCATCGCACTCACTCTCCAAGAAGGATGGTGGCCTATCCTTTCCTTCTTACCTCTGTTCACTCCATTGTCCCATTTCAAATGTACCTTCTTTTCATCCATCCAAAATCCTATACTTCCCTTGAGTTCTACCACTTCCATGAACCCCTTCTCCAACAAATCTAAACCACATTAGTTTTCCATTCCCAATAATATGACATTATATGGAAAAAACAGACTTTTCTCTCTGTACTCATGCTCCACACAGAACATGATGATCAACAACTGTTCAGGTGTTTTTTACACACATACCAAGCAACTGTCCAGAGATACAAACTAGGTGTGCTGTGATCACCTCAGCTCTGATGCTATCTCCAGGAAAGAGTGTCAGATCCCATGGGTTAAGGGCTCAGGACCACCAGACTGTGCTTCTGATCAACTGGCTGTAAATTGAGTTTACCATGACGCCATCCCTCCTTTGGTTCACTGATTTGCTAGGATGTCTCACAGAACTCAGGAAACACTTTATTTACATTTATTGTTTTCTTATAAAGGATCCAGAGGAACAGCAAGAAGAAGAGATGCATAGGGCAAAGTATGAGATCAGCGGGGAGCTTTTGCGCCCTCTCTGTGCACACCACCCTCGAGCACCTCCATGTATTCAACAATCTGGGAGCATGGCAGACCTGTTGTTCACAAGTTTTTACTGAGCTTAATCTCCACAACCCCCTAATCCTCTTTGCTGGAAGTAAGTGGGTAAGGCTGAGAGTTCCTAGCCCACTGGTGCCCACCTATGACACATGTGCCGAAGTGGACTGTTTGTATTATTGAAAACTCCAAAAAGTTTGCCATCACAGTCCTAGCCTGTCATCCTCTCTCATGGTCTTTTTGGTGACTGGTGACTGGCCCTGCCCTGTCCTAAGCTGTTCTCAACAGCATAAACTCCGGTGGGATTAAAAAGGACTCATTGGTCTGGGGATGTACACCCTGGGTTCAATCCCCAGGGCAGAAAAAAAAAGATTCATTATGAAAAACAAAAGACACCCCTAGCACTCAGGAATTTTTAAGAATTTTAGGACTGCCATGACAGGTACTAAGAACGAAGACCAAGTATATTTCCTGTTATACCACAGACATGAAGTATCGTTTATTCATTCAACGAATGTTTATTGACATCTACCCTGTGTGACTGCACTAGTTAAACATACAGGCGATATATGTATAACATACAGTGTATATTTACTTCTTGGTTTTTTTTGGTACCGGGAATTGAACTCAGGACCTTGCGCTTGTGAGGCAGGTGGCGGAACCACTGAGCTAAATCCCCGGCCCTATATTTACTTCTTTAATGGTCCTGGGGATGGGACCCAAAGTCTTGCTCACACTAAGCACATACTGCACCACTGAGCTGCATCCCTTCCCACAAACACGAGAGATATAAAAGCATAAAAGGGACCCCAACCAACATTCATGATGTTTATCAGTAACAGAGACAACTTTTAATCAGAGACTCGTACAAGTAGATAATAGATTACAATGGTATAATCGCTAACATTTAATTTTTATGTGGCTGGCCCTGTTCACATCCTTTATAGCTATTATCTGTGAATTAACTCTGAAGAAAACCCATAGGAAAAATAGTATAATCTCATTTTGCAGGAAAATAACAGTTGTACCTAAAAATGTGTGATATCTGTTTCCACATATATTAAATGGAATTGTTTATATAAGTAAATGGATTCTTATTGGCAGAGCCCTTGGATTATGACTGACTCACAAAATGATGATAATGTGGAGCTGAGGGGTTAAAGTAGGAAAATCCCAATAGAGACATTAAGAAGAGCTGTGTTGGATTTAGCTCAGTGTTTCTGCTGCCTGCCTCGAGAGCACAAGGACCCAAGTTTGATCCCCGGTACCAAAAAAAAAAAAAACCAAACAAACAGAAGACCTATGATCTGAAAGAAGTGTAAGTGTGAACAAGGCAAAAAGAGTGGTGAGGTGGAGTGCCTCAAGCAAAAGGAACAGTGAGTGCAAAGGTCCTATGGAGGGAGAGAGAGCCACACAGGATGGGGCATGATATCAGGTGAGGATGTAGTTAAATAGCTGCTAAATCATACAGGCTGTGGCTATGTTAAGCATTTTAGTCTTCACCTAAAGTCACTGAAGGATTTTAAGAGGGTTTACGTGATCAGATATGCATTTTGTAAGATCATTTTGGCTACTTGGAGAAGAAGGGCTTGGAGCATACTGAGAGTAGATTTGAGTATGATTAAGAAGCTTTTGCAGGGTTATAGGGAAGAGAAGATGGTAGTTTAGATAAGGCTAGTAGCAGTACTTTGAACAGTAGATGGTTCTAAGATTTTTTAAAAGTAGAATTTGGTGGTGGATTAAGGAGGGTGGAGGATGAGGGGCAAGACATTAGGGAAATGCCTATTCTTGTACAAGCACTCACTGACATAGTTACCTATATGTACAGTGAGTTTGAGGTGCCCCTGTGACTTCCAAAAGATTTGACAGGTTCAAAAAAACTCACATTTATGATTGCGGCTGGAGTCATTGATACTGATAAAAAGAAAAATTCTGAGATCTCTTAAATTTAATTAAAGGAGTACGAGGATGGAGAGGAGAAGAGGTACTGGAAATTAATCAGTTAACACTGTTGGCTCAATGAACAAAAGACTGTTCCAGGGCCGAGGATTTAGCTCAGTGGTTCCGCCGCCTGCCTTGCAAGCACAAGGGCCTGAGTTCATCCCCAGTACCAAAAAAAAAAAAAAAAGACTGTTCCACATTCCTGAATGTATGTTTCAACCTTGACTTATGACTCCAGGCTGTAGGTCACTAGTTGTCACTGCATCTGACTTGCAGATGAACTTCCCAGGCTATTAACTCTAACCAACCCAGAAATAAGAAACATTTTTTTTCTTTTGGTGTTTTTGAGACTGGGTCTCACCTTGTAGACCAGGCTGAACTTGAACTCACATACATCCTTCTGCCTCAGCCTCCTGAGTGTTGGGATTATAGGCATGCGCCACCGTGCTTGGGCTTGGCTAGAAACACTTCTTACAGTCTTATCCCAAAACATTCCTCACTTCACATTATCCCAGCTCTCTGATCTATAGCCAATGTAGGCTTGATGTAACAAGTTATACCTTCTTTCCCCAAATTTTCATTATAGAAATATTCTTTGGGCCGCTGTAGTGGCACATGCCTAAAATCCCAGTTACTCAGGAGACTAAGGCTAAGGCAGGAGGATCTCAAGTGTGAGGCCAGCATGGGCAACTTAGTAAGACTGTTTCAAAGTTAAAAAAAATCCAAAAATTCAAAGGAACTGGGGATGTAGCTCAGTGGTAGAGAGCACCCCTGACTTCAATCTCTAGTGTTACTCGGTAGTTCCTGTAGAAATGACTCACCAATTGAAAGCATTCCAGATTCTTTTTGCCTCAAACAAAGAATTGGATGAGACAACCCAAAAACGATCCCAAAGGTGTATTTCAAAGGTGAGGGTGAAGGGGTATGGAAAGAACTAGCTCTGCAGAGAAAACTTGGGGCAAACAAAGAGAGGAAAGGATAAAAGCAAAAATAAAAGTGCACCCTGTGGCTCCTAGATGCTACTATGAGGAGTCAGGATAGTGGGCTCCTCCTGGCATCTCCCTTATTTTATGCCATCCACATCTCATGGGAACCCACGAGAAGTTCTACATACAAGATCCTGAGAATTATTTGGCCCTGTCCTGGAATCTTGTAATTAACAGGTCCCACTTATTTCCCCAGCCAGCTTTGCCACACCCTGTGTTCTATATCACTAGTACTGTCAGGGGGAAGATAAAAATTATTGATTTTAAGTCCAGTGGAAAGATTTCCTCCTGCTGTCTAATCTGTAGTCTGTGACTACTGGTAGTCACAGAATTTGTCCTAGGACCTAGTCCTATTTTTTTTTTTTAATCAGCATCTGTAATGGATCGGTAAACCCTTTTATTTCAGTGCTCCCTTGGTCACATGAATTTTGGGTGGTGACTGGTAAAGTCCTGGGCACAAATGAGAATATTCAGGGGAAGTATCTAATGAGAAGAAAGAAAAGCAAGCTTAGGACTAAGCTTTGGGGGATACCTAGAGTTGCTGTTTGGGCAGAGAAGGATCTAACTTACCAAGGACTCAGAAAGAATAGCCAGATATACCGTATGAGGAAAAAAGGGGAGCATTATGTCATGGAGGCTGAGACAAATGAGTATTTTGAGATGAGAATGATCATTATGCCAATTGTGGCCAGAAGGTAATAAGATGACTTTAAAACGCTAGATTTGGTCACAGTGGCACAGTTTTAGTCAGAAGGAGGACAGCTCCTCTGCTAAACTGGGAAAGAGGAGAGGATGGAGACAGGTGACACAAGCTTTATGTTTGGTAGTAAGGTCGTGGGGCCTACCAGGTGATGGTTTCTGGTTTTTGTCAATTGAAGCAAGGCCATCCACTGAGAGTGTGGGGCAAGGAGGGGAACCAAAGTTTGTGAGAGGGACAGGTCTGATTAAACAGTGGGAGAGCATGATGACCTAGCTTGGGGGTGTTCAGGGTTCCTTTGAGCGTCTCTGGACCAAGCTGCCCTATTATGTGACTTTCTAGAGCAGGGCACAAACTACCTATAAGCAGGGCTATGTAGAAGGTAGGTGACTAGGTTTGTTAGAGTTTGGGGATTTTCTGGTAGGTAAAGTGAAATAAAAATGGAAAAAAGTGGAATTTGGGGACTGGGCAAAATAGTGCAGTCATAGACCATGAAATCTAAGCTAGGGCCAGGGATGTAGCTCAGTGGCACAGTGCCTGCCTGGCAAATGCAAGGACCTGAGTTTGATTCCCAGTACCAAAAGGGGTGGGGGGGAAGCTAAACTAGATCAATAGGAGAAATAGGAAAGGAATTGAAAAAAAGGTGATGAGGTCAATGAATGAAAGTTCAGTGAAGTTGAGTTCAACAAAAGTTGTAGGGGTGGTTAATAGGTACAGGAAGGAAAAAATCATAGATGCTCTCAAACTGGAGACAGATTAATTGAAGAAACAGTTAAATTTGTTTTTGTGTTTTTGTTTGTTGTTTTGCTTTTTGAGACAGTTACTCCCTACATAGTTTAGGCTGGCCTTGAACTTACTATGTTGCCCAGGCTGGCCTCACACTCACAGTGATCCTCCTGTTTCAACCTCCCAAGTGCTGAGATTATAGGTGTGCTCCACCACACCCAGCTCAAATTTATGTATTTTTTATACTAAGCTTGAGGAAGTGTGGACAGCAGTGGAGAAACATGATTGGAAAAATAGGGGTATTATTCAATAGTTATAAACTAGGGGGGAATTTAGCAAGGCCTATTTATTCAGATCTCTCTATCTCTTCATCTTCAGAAATAAGGATGTCCCTTTTGAACTTTAATGATCCATCTTGGGGGAGAAGGACCAGGGGAAGGTGAGAGTGACCTTTCTGTTTTTACCATTTTTTCAGATTCCTTTAGTTTACAATGTCCAGTATGCTGAGGCACTGTAGTTTGGGGTAGTGTTCCTGAACCAGTCACAGCCCCGTTGGGAGGAGAGGAGTTTGTGTTGAAAGATGCCTGAATTAGATTCTGGAAATGGAATTGTTATAGAGGATGACACACCCAAGGGAGAGTGGGAGGAGTGGGCTGCTCTGGGAGGAGAGAGGAGGATGTTGGGATCAGAGCAACGAGCGGCAGCCAGGGCCGTAGGTGAGAGATCACCTTTTTGATCATTGAAGTCACCCAGAATAATGGCAGGGCTTGTAGTAGAGAGAAATAATGGGCCAACATCTTGCCTGACTGAGCAGGAAGCCACAGGCAGGCCTGTAGATAAGACCATGGGATGAGGAAAAGATTAATTGGGTGCAGGGACCTCAAAAACCTGGCTATTCTTTTTCCTCTTAAGTATAGGGGAAAGAATATGATCTGGAAATGGCAGAGGGAAGCCAAAGAATAACAACCCCTCTCTGTTAAAGGATTTCTTTTGTGTGTGTGGCGGTGGAGGGGGCATGGAACCTGGGCCTTGTGCATGCTAGGCAAGTGTTCTACCACTGAGCCACACCCCTGGCTCCAAAAGGGAAAAAAAATTGTTAGGATAAAATCACATCTGTTGTTCAGATATAAAATGAAATGTGATGGGGATTTTTGTTAACTTATTAGTGGGAAAACAGCAAGAAGTCCAACGGTGAATCTACTTTATAGATCAGAAATTTGAAATTAATTTGAAAATGTTGGTAAAACTAGTTTCTTCTCATAGTGGGAGGCAAGTCAGTTGAGGCCACTGGGCAGAATTTATTTGCATGTCTGTAGACAAGAATTATTTTGCTATAAGTTATCTACCATTTATAGAGTTGTAAAATATGTAAAAGGCAGTAAAAGGTTAGAATCGAATGCTGTGGAAAGGTATGTTCTAAAGAATTTATGATTTTCCACTGGAAATATCAGTCATATTTTTTGCTTATTCCAGATTTCCTTAGCTTCTCATTCCTGAGGTGTGCGGAGCCTGATGGCACAACCAGCTACCACTTGGGTGGGTACAGGGAAAATGGTGCCCAGGCTGAGAAATACTCCACTTGAACAATGATCTTCACAAGCCACATGCATCCCATGTTACTTATATGTTATATAATGCAATGTTGTCCTAATATTTTATGTTCATTTTATAAATCACAAACTGTTTAAAAATTAAAGGATGATATGATGTTGAAATAAATACAATATGTTAAATTTCCAAATTGTATTATCTGTACAAAAAGATACCCTTTTTTTTGCTCCCATTAACTTGTTTTTTTTTTTTTGAAACAGGTCTTACTATGTAGCCCAAGCTGGCCTTGAACTCACTGCAATCCTCTTCCCTCACCCTCCTGAGTGCAGGGATTATAGTCATAGACCACTATGCCTGGCCCTACTAATTTTTTCTTTTTTTAAAAAAGAGGAAATGTTTATTTATTTTTTTATTGTTACATTTTAGATACAAATAATGATAACATTCATCATAGGGAATTTGTACCTGTACATGATATACCTTGCAGCTTCTTTTTTTCCCACTCCCCTCCCTTGAAGCTTCTTCCTCTCCTTATTTACAAAAGCTTTGTTTACATTTTTTCCTTCTACTCTCTTTTCTTTTTGTCCTTCCCTTCCTTTCCCCCTCTCTCCTCCCTTGTTCCCCTTCTCATTTAAATGTTTTCCCATTTTGCAATATCTATTATAACTTTGGTCCTTATTTACCCTTTTGGTTTCTCACACCAGAAAAACAATGTGATATTTAAATATGTGTGTCCAATTTATTTCATTTAAGAGTATGGTCTCAAGGTACATCCATTTAGCTACAAATGTCTCAAGCTTGTCCTGTTCTGTGGCAGAGTATTACTCCATTATATAAAAAACCCCACATCTTCTTTACCCATTCATCAGTTGATGTGTATTCAGACTGTTACCAAGATTTAGCTGTTACAAACTGTGCTCCTATAAACGTGGGTGTGCAGATATTGCTGTGATATGATGCTTTTCATTATTTTGAGAAGATAGCAAGAAGGGAAATAGCTAGGTTGAATAGAACCTCTAGCTTTAGTTTTTGAAGAAATCTCCACACTGATTTGCTCAGTGATTGCACCAGTCTACACTCCCACCAGTAGTGGAGAAGGGTTCCTTTTCCCCCACAGCTCCATCAGCATTTGTTATCGGTTGATTTCTTGATAATAGCAATTCTTGTGGAGTGAGACAGAATCTCAGTGTTGTTTTAATTTGCATGTCTTAAATGACCAGTGAGGTTGAGCATTTTTATATATTTATTTGCCATTTCTACTTCTTCATCTGAGAAGTGTCTATTCATTTCAGGTGCCCATTTTTGGATTGAGTCTTTAAAATTTGGGGGGCAGTCTCATTTTTTTGAGTTCTTTATATATTCTAGATATTAGTCCTTTGTCTGAGGAAGAGCTGGCAAAAATTTATTCCCACACTGGGGGTTGTCTTTTTACTCTGTTGCTGGTTTCTTTTGCTGTGCAAAAGCTTTTTAATAATGTGAGATCCCAGTTGTTGATTCTTTGTGATATTTATTGTGTGATCAGGGTTTTGTTCATAAGTCTTTGCCTACACCAATCTATCTTCCTACCTAATCTATCTTCCAACAGCTTAGTATTTCTGTTTTAATATTTAGATCTTTGATCCATTTTGATTTTAGTTTGGTGCATGGTGAGAGATATGGGTCTAGTTTTAATCTTTGGTATGTGGAAAGCCAGTTTTTCCAGCATCATTTATCAAAGAGGCTATCTTTCTTCCAGGGAAGGTATTTGGCTCGTTTGTCAAAGATAAGGTGGGTGAGTGCATCTTCTAACCTGTTCCATTTGTCCTCAGCCTCAGGTCCTTTTTTTTTTTTGCCAGTACTATGCTGTTTTGTTTTGTTTTTTGGGGGGTACCGGGGATCAAACTCGGGTCCTTGCGCTTGCGAGGTACTATGCTGTTTTATCACAGTAGCTTTGTAGTATATTATCAAGTCAGGGATTGTGATGCTCCCTGCCTTGTGTTTGTTGCCCAGAATTGCTTTTGCTATTCTAGGTCTCCTCTGGTTCCAAATGAATTTTAGGATTGTTTTTTCTAAATCATGGAGATATGCTATTGGTATTTTGATTGGGATTGTATTAAATCTATGTAACAATTTTGGAATATGACCATTTTCACTATATTGATTTTTCCTACCCATGAACAAGGGGTATCTTTCCATTTTCTGATATCCTCTTCTATCTCCTTTTTCAAACAACTGTAGTTTTCCACGTAAAGGTCTTTTACTTCCTTTGTTAAATTGATTCCTAGGTATTTCATTTTTTGGGGGGATGTTATTGTGAAAGGTATTGTATCTCTATTTTTTCTCTTAGTGATTTTAGTTCAGGAATACTTTTTTTTTTTCTGGTACAGGGAATTGAACTCAGAACCTTGTGCTTGCCAGGGAGGCAGGGTGCCACTGAGCTACATCCCTGGCCCTTAGGAATACCATTGATTTTTGAGTATTGACTTTGTATCAAGCTACGCCACTGAATTTGGTAATTAAATCTAGAAGTGTTTTGGTGGAGTTTTGGGGGTCTTCTATGTAGAGTATCATTTCATCTGCAAATAATGATAATTTAACTTTCTTTCCTATGCTTATTCCTTTTCTCTCTCTTGCCTAATTGCTCTGGCTAATATTTCCAGAACTATATTGAATAAGAGTGGTAACAGTGGACATCCTTATCTTGTTCCTGATTTTAGAGTGAAAGCTTTCAGTTTTTGTCCATTTAGTATGATGTTGGCTATTGGTTTGTCATTGATGGCTTTTATCAGATTGAGAAAAGACCATCTATTCTAATTTTCTGTAGGATTTTTATCATGAATGGGTGTTGGAATTTGTGAGACAGTTTTTCTTCATCAATTGAGATGATCATATGGTTTTTATCCTTGGTTCTGTTAATGTGGTGTATTACATTTACTGATTTGCTTATGTTGAACCATCCCTGAATTCCTGGGATGAATTGTACTTGGTCATGGTATATAACCTTCTTGATGATTTGTTGCATTCTGTTTGCCAGTATCTTATTGAAGATTTTTGTGTCTATGTTCATTAGGGAGTTTGGCCTATAGTTCTCTTTTTTTGGTTGAATCCTCTGGTTTTGTTATCAGGGTAAGGCTTTCTTCCAGGAATGACTTTGAGAATATTGCTTCCCTTTCAATTTCATTAAAGAGTTTGAGAAGTAGCAGCATTAGATCTTCTCTAAATTTCTTGTAGAATTCAGAAGTGAACCCATCAGGACCTGGGCTTTTCTTTGTTGGTGGGTTTTTAATTACACCTTCAATTTCATTGACTAATGTTGGTTTATTTAGAATTTTTATATCTTTGTGATTCAGCTTTGGTAATTCATATGTATCTAGGAATCTGCCTATTTTCTCTGTGATTTTCATCTTATTAAAATACAGGTTCTCAAAGTTGGTATTGATGATCTTCTGGATTTCTGCAGGATCTGTTGTGATTTCATCCTTTTCATTCCTAATTACATGGATTTGAGTCTTTTCTTTCCTTTTTTTGGATACATTTGGCTAAGGGTTTGTCAATTTTATGTAACATTTCAAAGAACCAACTCTTTGATTCATTGCTTCTTTGAATTATTTTCTTAGTCTCCATTGAATTAATTTCTGCTCCAATCTATAATTTTCTCCCATGTATAATCTTTGTGCTTGACTTGCTTTTCTTTTTCTAGAACATTGAGTTTCAACATTAAGTTGTTTACTTGAGCTTGCTGTTTTTCTGATATGGGAATTCACTGCTATAAATCTCCCTTTTAGAATTGCTTTCATTGCATCCCATAAGTTTCAGTATGTTGTATTGCCATTATCCTTTAACTGCAGAAACTGTCTAATTTCTTCTTTAATTTCATCTGTGACCCATTGGTTGTTCAGGAAGGTGTTATTTAATTTCCATGTGTTTATGAATTTTTTGTGGGGTTTTGTCTCATTGATTTCCAATTTCATTACACTGTGGTCTGGTAATATCATGGAATAACTTCAATTCCTTTGCATTTACTTAAGCATTTTCTATGAGCTAGTATGTGGTCTGTTTTGGAGAATTCCCATGTGAAGCTGAGAAGAATGTGTATTCTGATGTTGTGAGTTGGAACACTCTGTAGACAACTACTAAGTCCATTTGTTCAAAAGTTTGGTCAGTTCTGCTATTTCTTTGTGATTTTTTGGCTAAGTTGACCTGTCTATTTGTGACTGTGGAGTTTTGAGGTCTCCCACTATGATTGCACTAGTGCTTATTTAATTTTTCACATCCATTAATTTTTTTTATACAGTTGGGTGCATTGGAATTTGGTGCATATATATTTGTGATTGTTACCTCTTCTTCTTGGGTCATTCCCTTTATAAGGATGTAGTGACTTTCTTTTTTTCTCTTAATCAGTCTTAGCTTGAAATCCACTTTGTCTGCAAAGAGAATAACTACCCTTGCTTTTTTCCTGGGTTCCTGTCACATGGAATATTGTTTTCCATCCTTTGACTTTGTCTATAAATTTTTTTGAATTAAATGTGTTTCTTGTATGCAGCATATTGTTGGATCTTGCTTCTTCTTTTTTTTTTTCCATTTAGTTTATTGGTACATTTTAGGTATACAATACAATTACATTCATCATTGGAATCTTGTACCTTTACATGATGTATATTGATTATTTTTTTCACCATCCTCCTACCCTCCTTTCACCCCCTCCACCCTTCCCTATTTACAAAGACTTTATTTCCATTTTTTCCTTTTCTCATATTTTTTCTTTTCCTTTCTTTCCTTTTCTCTACCCCTCCCACTTCCCCTACTCCTTTAGACATTTTCTCCCTATTTCACAATATCAATTATACATTTTGATTCTTATTTACACTTTTAGTTTTTCACACCAGAGAAACTATTTGGTATTTGCACTTGTGTGTCCTATTTATTTCACTTAAGAGTATGGCCTCAATGTGCATCCATTTAGCTATAAATGTCTCTAGTTTCTCATTCTTTATGGTGGAGTAGTACTCCATTTTATTAAAAAACCACATCTTCTTTTTCCAGTCTCCAGTTGATGGGCAATTGGGCTGTTTCCAAATTTTGGCTATTACAAACTATGCCACTATGAACATGGGTGGGCATGTATCACTGTGGTATGATTCTTTTAATTTGGGGGGGGGAAATACCCAGTAGAGGAA